TGGAGTATCTTAGATGGCTGTTCACAGGCTTTTAAGACCCCAGATGCTACTCACCAAGGTAGAATGTAGAACATTGTCTTTATAAACTGTGTTATGCCAGTTGAGCTAGATGTTCCCCGAGACCATGGTCCCCACAGCCCTCCACCCAGCAGTTCAGTCCCTCGGGGAGTTTGGTTGTGACCTTTCCTTGTACAAGTTGTGCTGGTTTCCCCTGTATTGTATACTGTCTTACCCTACACCAAAGTTACCACTTATCTATTACCCCCCTACCCTGCCCATCCCCCGTAACCAAGATTGTTACTTTTTGTATGTAAATTTTTTCATGAGTTTTTACAATAGTGGTCTCATAAAATATTTGTCCTTTTGTGATTGACTTATTTCACTCAGCATAATGTCCTCCAGTTTCATCGATGTTATGAGATGCTTCACAGATTCATCGTTGTTCTTTCTCATTGCATAGTACTCCATTGTGTGTATGTACCATAGTTTGTTTATCCATTTCCTCTGTTGTTGGGCATCTAGGTTGTTTCCATCGTTTTGCTATTGTGAACAATACCGCCATGAACATGGGTGTGCATATGTCTGTTCCTGTGACGGCTCTTATTTCTCTAGGATATATTCCTAGAAGTGGGATTGCTGGATCATATGGTATTTCTATTTCTAGCTTTCTAAGGAAACGCCATATCATTTTCCAAAATGGTTGTATTATTTTGCATTCCCATAAATGTGTTTTGCATGTGGGAGGGACATGAATTTTGGGGGGCCAAAGGGTGGAATGGTATGGATTGAATTGTGTCCCACGAAAGTATGTGTTGTAAATCCTAACCTTTATGCCTGTGGTTATAATCCCATTTGGGAATGGGTTGTTTTTGTTATGTTAATAACAGAGGATTAATGTATTGTGTATCTTGAGGCAATCTGTATCTTGAGGCAGTCTCTTTTGAGATAAAAAAGAGATTAAATGCAAGCCAGCAAGCAGAGATTGGGGAAGAAAGATGCCTAGCTCATGAAGATTGCCCAGGAGCAGAGAAGCTCAGAAGAGACACAGACCTTCCTCCAGAGCCAGTAGAGAAAGCCTTCCCGTACAGCCAGCACTCTGAATTCTGATTTCTAGTCTCCTAAACTGTGAGAGAATAAATTTGTTTGTTAAAGCCACCCACTTGTGTTTCTTTTATAGTAGCACTAGATAACTAAGACAACAGCCTAATTGATGGGAGTTGGAGTGCAAGGCGATTAGGGAGTAGTAGTTTAGTAGCCCTGAGTGTTTACAGTGTTCATGGTATGTTTTATTGGTGGAAAGGAGAGGCTTTGATAGATTTATCCAGTTGGACACTGGAGGTCTGTGAGGTAGGGAAAGCAATTTGACCTTTTGTTTTGGGTTCCTGAGAGTCCCCCGGACAGAGGCTCACCTGGGGGTCTGATATTGACTCAGCCACGTGGTGAGACCAATAAAGGCTTTGGAAGATGGTGTTTCAGTGGAGCTTCCAGGTTCATGACCATGCAAGGGAGAGGTAGTGTGTTCCTCTTTGGGACATGGAAGCTCTGCTGTGGGACCCCTCTTGGGCCTTACCCTATGCATCTCTTCATTTATATATATTGAAGCTGTTATCAGAGGTATGGTGGCTCCTGTGAGCTCTGTGAGCCTTTCCAGCAAATTGTTGGACCCAAAGGAGCAGGGGGAGCTGGTTGGTCTGAAGTAGAGGGAGTTACATCGTCTCCTAAGGTTGTGGCCAGTATCCGTTGACTCAGCCCCTGGTGGGTGAGGATGAGAGAGAGCTGGGGTCTGAACTGAACAAGGAAGGGAAGCTGAGATTTCAGGCGACACAGCTGGTGCGTGGAGTGGGATTTGTTATATACTGCATAATTTGGATTCAGAGGTGGGTGATCTTAATTTCCCTGGACTGGCTTGATACAATTGGTGACTCTGGAGAGACTCGCTTGAGCGGTCCTGACTGCACAAGGTTAGAAATGGGAGTTTCAGTGGCATATTTGGGGGCTCTTACTTTAAAGTTACAGATTTTTGCTTTTTACATTTAATATCTCTTAACTACATTTCAGATCACTTCCTTAGTGAGTAAATATTAGAAGACATGGACAGTGCCATCTCTTTAGGGGTTTAACGTCTGATGCTGGTAAAGCAGTGATATGCATAGTGTATTTGGAGAGTACAGAGAATAAGTTCCTGTTTGGGAGGGAGAAGAGAAGCTTTTAAGAGGAGGTGACACTTGTTTCTAAATTTTGAAAGGCAGATCAGAATTAGGCAGAAGATACGTGGGAGACGAAATGGGGCAGATAGTCATTTCAGGGAGAAGAAAAGGCATGTATGTGTTAAGACTTGGAGATATGAACACATATGGCATAACTGTTATTCAGGAGTGTTGGATTTTTGGTCTGTTTTGAACACTGATGTGCCCCCAGTACTAGGATGGTAGAACAGTGTTTGGCATACATTGTGTCCTCAATAAGTACTTGAAAAACTGAAAAGGTCAAGGCAAGCAGCGGCCAGATCACAGTGGACCTTGTTTAACATGCTGTGGAGCAAGAGTTTATCCTGAAGACAGTCTTTGAAGTACTGTGTTTTAACCAGAAGAGTGACATGATCAGATTTGATTTTGAAAAATATTCCTCTGGCAGCACATTTTGGAATGGATTATTGGCAGGGGGGATGAGATTGGAGTCAGAAATACCAGGTAGGAGACTATTGAAATAATCCAGTTGAGAAAATAGGGAGGGCTCAAATTAAAGTGTTTGAGCATTGTGAGCAAAGGGATAAAGAATTGTAGAAGTCTTTAGGAAATTGAATTGACAAGCCTTGGTGACTGAGTTCATGGGGGGAGGGTGAGTGAAGGGCAGGGACAATTCTGGAGTGGCCCCTAGGTTTTCAGCTTAGGCACCTAGATTCCAGAGTGGTAGTGGTGGTGCTGTGAACTGAGAGAGAAAGCACTCTGTGTAACTCAACACAGGACACACTGCTTGTAGCTTATTTTCCTGTTTGAAGAAAATATATGTTTAATGTTTCTATCTGAGTATATAATGTTTTATAACTGAGATGGCTTAGCTCAGTTTTACTGTATGCCAGGAGCTGTAGACTATCGACTTGAACATATCTGTGGAATTGAGTTGAAACCTAACACTGTGTTTACACTAAGCCCCTTTAATGATTGAAGTGTTATAAAATTGCAGACTCAAGCAAAACATTTGACATCAGAATAAGATGAAAATCCTAACTTTAAAATCCGCATCATATGCATGAGAAAGCTGGACAATGAATAAGAAAGACCGAAAAAGAATTGACGCCTTTGAATTGTGGTGTTAGCGAAGAATATTGAATATATATACCATGGACTGCCAAAAGAACAAACAGGTCTGTCTTGGAAGAAGTACAACCAGAATGCTGCTTAGAAGCAAGGATGGTGAGACTGCATCTTACATACTTTGGACATGTTGTCAGGAGGGATCAGTCCCTGGAGAGGGACATCGTGCTTGGTAGAGCATCAGTGAAAAAGAGGAAGACCCTCAATAAGATGGATTGACACAGTGGCTGCAACAATGGACTCGAACATAGCAACGATTCTGAGTATGGCGCAAGACCGGGCAGTGTTTCATCTGTAGTACACAGGGTCACTATGAGTCAGAACCGAGTGATGGCACCTAACAACAACAACAGCCTAGTTCATTGAGTGACTCAATAGCATAACAAATAAGACGTTAATTCTCTTTATCTAGGGTAAACTCTAAGTGCCTAGTAATATGTTGTTGTTAGTTGCCATCAAGTCGATTCTGACTTACGTTGACTCAATATGTACAGAGTAGAACTGCTCTGTAGGGTTTTCAAGACTGTGACCTTTTGGAAGCAGATTGCCAGGCCTTTTATAAAGGTGCGTCTGACTGGTTTGAACTGCCAACCTTTTTGGCTAGTAGTCGACTGCTTAGTATAGTAGAAGTTATTGTGCAAACTTTGACAAATTACCACAGACTAGGCTCTATGCAAGGAGCCCTGGTGGCACAATGGTTAAGCACTTGGCTGCTAACTGAAAGGTTAGCAGTTCGAACCTACCTGCAGCTTTGTGGAAGAAAAGACCTGGTGATCTGCTGCCACAGAGATTGCAACCTAGAAAACCCGTGGGGCAGTTCATCGCTGTCCTGTACGGTCACTATGAGTCAGAATCGGCTCGATGGCACACAGCAACAAGGCTCTGTGCTGCATATTGGGGATTCAAAGATGAATTACATGCTCTTCATTTTCATATGTATGTGTGAATGAATGAGTTGGGACCGTGACTTTCGATAGTGATACACTTTACAACATGTCACGTGCTACTTTGAGAATATCAATAAAATGCTAGGTATTATCCAAAATTTTTCTCTTTCCTTTGGTTACCTCTTCATCCTCCCCTCGCGTCGTCTTATCTGTCAGCAAATTCTGATTGCTATATTTCCAGTGTACGTCATACCTGCTTCCCACTTTTGTTTTTTCTCCTTTGCCTCTAGTCCGTTCCAAGTTTCAACATACATACATTTCACACTAGTCTTCCTGGTTCAGCTCTTACTTTCCGCCTTTCAGAATCCCTTCTCTGTGTAGTAGCTGGAGTGAGCTTTTAAATATTGAGTCTTGTTTTGCTTAAAGCTTCCCAGTACAAAAATTCCAGCTCCTTACTATGCCTCCCGTGTTACATCCTCAGGGAGTACTGCTTGCTAAAGATCGGTGAGTACTGTGGGACCTCAGAGGAGGGAATGATCAATTCTGACTTTGGGGCTCTGAGAAAGACGAAGGAATGGTATTTGATCCATATCTTGGTAGATGAGTAGGGTTTTGTTAGGTGAAATTACGTATTGAATAAGAACTGAAAGAATGCTTACCGTGTGCCGTTGTTGTTGTTAGTTGCTGTTGAGTCAGCCCCCGACTCGCGGTGACTCCGTGCACAACAGAGCAAAATACTGCCCGGTCCTGAGCCATCCCCACGATCAGTTGTGGATCAGACCATTGTTCCATAGGGTTTTCAGTCGCTGGTTTCAGAAGTAGATTGTCAGGCCTTTCTTCCGAGTCCATCTTAGTCTGGAAGCTCTGCTGAAACCTGTTTAGCATCACAGCAACACACAAGCCTCCACTGACAAAGGGGTGGTTGGCTCACATGAAGTGCATTGACTGGGAATTGAATCTGGATCTCCCGCGTGGAAGGCGAGAATACCACCCCTGAACCAACACTGTGCTAGGCACTGTCTCATTCATGTTTTCTCTTGAAAAGCAATGACTAACGTATGGTGTCTTTGAAAGGAAGTTGCTATTTGTCGTAGATTTGGTTTTATTGCAACCTCAATAAATAGCATATACAAGAAAAACCAAGCAGTCCTTAGTCTGCTTAAATACCATGAAGCATTTCATTCACTGGTACCTGCAAGAATCGAATTTGGCCAGCACTGCTTGACCAGCCTCATTTTTAACCATCACGTATACCGTTCAGGAAATTTGACTGTATTCAGAAATGCCACAAAATTTTCATGCAGTGTCTTCCAGTCTTCTGATACCAATTTTTGTTTTAAAATGACAAAAGTAACATCAGGAAGATTAAGTATAACCAACTATATGTACCAATTGTATTTGGTTATAAAATGAAGTTTTTGTTTATAACTAATTTAGGACTATATCTTCACAAAAATACAGCTTAGTAATTTACTAATTGAATCTTTTGCATAGTTCCTTTACTGACTCCGAATCTTGAAGATTGTGACTAGGTGTTCATTTGGAGACTCGTCATGATGCAGATAGAACAGTACTATAGATTATAAACATTTTTGTCCTTTGCTGTGCTTGTTTAGATCTTCATTTTCTTTTAAAATTTTTTTTGTTGTCTTTTTGGCTCTTCAGTAGCTGTGATTCTTAACTCCTGCCTCACTTCCTTGTCATGAGCTGTGTTTCCCTGAAAAACTGCACATATGTGCATAAATTCAGGAATTCCAAAGTTCATTTTACTTGTCGACATTTTTGGCTAAAAATCCTCCTCTCGAAAGCTGGAAATTCTTACTCAGAAGAACTTGTATTCTTTTCCTAGCATTGCTTTATTGCTTGTAATGTAAGCTAATATACAGACAGTAATTTTTTTGGGTTGTGGCTAATACCAGTTACATGTTAAAGTAGGCCCTTGATTTAGGTGTTTTACTGGAGCAGAGAGATATGGAAAAAATATGGATAATGTAGAGAATTGTCCAAGAAGCTAAAATTACTACATTTAATAATTTGTCGTTTATTTTGAGATTTTTATTCCTATTTTTAGATACCAAAAAAATCCTCATTTTAACAAGTGATGGTGGTCCTTTCCCATCTCCTCTTGTCACCACCCCCACCCCCACCCCAAATTTCCTACCTGGTAAGGTAAAATATTTGCCACCAATTCTGTATTGATTCACCCAGTCTGTTTTTGATGTTTATAGTTCTGTGAAACTCAAAACTGGGTAATATTGCCTTATTTTGTGCATCACTACCAAGATGGGAGTTGATGTCTGTCCTAGTGAGGAGATGTCCTCAGATGCTGTGGAAAGGAACTGAAGGGCTTCAGTTGCCTTTGCCACTGAGAACCACAGTGGCAGTGCCGTCCCTTTCTGGCTGGGCCTTGATGTGTCTTCTCTGAGGGCCTGATGTCTTTCCTAGGACTACAGAGTTTTGGGGGTTATTTATCCCTTCACAGCTTGCCATAGGCCCACGTGACTTTACTACTTCTCCAATAACACTTCAGCTCTTACCCATATTTTATTTTTCTCTTTATTCTTGGCTTCTCCTGGTGCTTCTTGGCTTTGTTTGGAGCTGGATTAGTATCCTTAGCTTCTCAGTTGGGAGATTTCTTTCCATCTTACATTAGAAAACTAATAAATTAATTTTTGTATCTTTGGCCTTTCTTGGCTACTTGGATGTGTTTGTTTGGAGATGTCCTTTTTTCTATGGTTATAGCTTTCCCAAGAAAAGCTTACCAGACATTTGATTGCTGACTGACTAGGTAGTTTGTATATATCTTGGTTAATTAAGCACTAGTCAAAGCTGTTCAATTAACTATGTGTTTCAGTATTTGGAACGTGTCCAGCAACCCACTGTACAGCAATGGGGAAGAAAAAGGTGAAGGAAAACATTAGCGTGTCCTATATAAACCTCCTAGTTTTAGATTTCCAATAATTTTATTTATTTATTTTTACCTTTTTAAAACATTTTTTGTTTTGTTTTTTTCTGAGGCATGGAGTGCCCCACTTTACAAAATGGGGATTTAATTATTGCTTTAGCTTATAGGATCCCACTGGGACTTCTTGAAGAGATACTACTTCTTGAACCTTAGAAAACGTTATGTAGGTCCCAATATTTTAAGTTTTGAAAACCGGAAAATACAGTTTCGTATTAATTTACAGATTTATTGAATTGTTATTTAGAGTTAGTAAGTCTAGTTTTTGAATTGTAAGCTGTAAGAGGCACTTTGCTGTAGCTTGTCTCATGTCATCTTTGCATAGGTTCTGTAAATGTCACTTAACAAGTATTTCTGTTGTGAGTGATGAAGAGATTTCAGCTGCTATGCTGACAAATGCCCTTTAATCAATCTTTAAAAAATAATCCAGCTTTAGTCATTGGCTTGTTTTTATTACCAGAAATATGTTACCAAAACATTTTAGTGTGGCATAAAAACTTAGACAGCACCACTGGGCTTATTTCAGTGTTTGTGCTGCACAAATACTATTACAAGTTAGTTTTTGTAAAATTTGTCTAATGGAAAATTGTAACCCTGCTGTTAGTTCTAAAGCAGTTTTATTTCTCGATGCTGTAAACTGTTTAGGCCTCCCTTGGTCTCTCATCACATCCCACTACAAAACACACCTCCTCCCTTAAAGCTGCTTTACCTGTCCTGGGTGGGCTGAGAGAGGGCACAGAGGCAGGAGTCAGGGGAGAGTGTGAAAGTGACTCTCTGCTTCTGAGGACATGGGGGAAGAACCCACATTATTTACTATTTAAAATCTTTGAGGCTGAAATTGTTCGAGTGAGCAACGCTTTGGGTAAAGATAAAGAGTCAGGTGAGCTAGTTAGGAGCACCTCTACTAACTACTGCTTAAGCATCTTAAGCATTAGATAAGCCTTCCCTGTGAAGGTTTCAATTGAGTTAATAGCGCGGAGTTACTAATGTACCTGCTTTCTTCTGTTGCTCACTTTTGGCCCTTTGAGTTTTTTAATTCAAAATGTAAAATTCAAATCAGTCTTTTTTTCTAGCAGTATTTATAGTATTATCGGGACCCCTGGTGGCACAGTGGTTAAGAGCTTGGCTGCTAACCAAAAGGTTAGCAGTTTGAATCCACCAGCTGCTCTTTGGAAACCCTGTGGGGCAATTCTGCTCTGTCCTGTAGGGTTGCTATGAGTTGGAACCTACTCAACGGCATATAACAATATTATAGAATATTTGAAAGGTTGAAGCTGTTGCTTAATATGAAATTGAGATCATCTCTCCATTTCATTTGTTTGTGTATCTCAGTCTCACTTAGTAACAAATAATTGAGACGGAGCTGAGATTTAGATTCTTTTTCATGGAGTTGGTCTTTGCCTCTTAAATATTTATTTCTATAGGTTCTAGATGGATCCTTAGAAATCATCTTGTTTTACATTTTTGAATTGAGAATTTGAAATACAGGATGTTAAGTATTTTGTCCAAAGTTTATAATACTCCAGTGTTGTGTGAACGTGCGTGTGTGTATCGGGAATCACAGACTCAGTCACATCCCATCCGTTCATTGTGAGTGGTCACCCAGAATCTCAAGGGCAAATAGAGCTTCTCACAATTGGTTGTGTAGACCTTGAAGCAAGCAGGATAATAAAAACAATCTTGCCAGTGAAGAAGGGGAAATCACAGACAGGTCACCAGTGTAATAAGCACATACAAAATTAAACATGTGATGATGGATTTAAATTTGTGGTTGTATTCAGTTTAGGGAATGAAGTAGATATTCAGCTTGAGAAAAAACATTTCTTGTGCTTCTTGTGTATGTGCTTTTTGTGGCTCTTGATCTCTTCCTTCTGGTCCCTCATTACACTTCATTTTTTTCTCTGTTTTTCCCAGTAGACTCTACTTACAAGGACAGGAAGCCTCTGTCTTGTTCACTGTTGTTTCCAGCACCGAGTAATAGCAATAATTGTTGATTGACTGCCAGGTTGGCTTACCCTGCTTTATGTGGCTATACGGGGCACTCACCACATTTTATAAATCCTAAGTTTGAAATATCTAAATTTTATTTTTACAGTGAACAGAGTATCTGTCAGGCAAGAGCCGCTGTGATGGTTTATGATGATGCCAATAAGAAGTGGGTGCCAGCTGGTGGCTCAACTGGGTTCAGCAGAGTCCATATATATCACCATACAGGCAACAACACATTCAGAGTGGTGGGCAGGAAGATTCAGGACCATCAGGTAAGGGTCTGTTAAAATTCTTATTTAAAGCTAATCTATGTAGTATTAAAAGAGGACTTGATATATTCAGTAAAATAAAGTAATGCTATAAGACTCTCTTCAAAATAGTCTGTATGGGGAAAACTATACATTTTGTCTTTCTGCCTTACCCCTTTCCACCTTTTATGAGATATGGATTTAGATGAAGTTTTAGAACTGACTGTAGAAAAATATAAATGCTCCTTTTTCTATTATGGCTTTTCCTTAGAGCCGCTGGCCTTCCAACTAGGTAGTTTTTGGGATCTAAAGTAATTTAGGACAAACAAAAATGAAAACCTACTTGTCTTAGTCATCTAGTGCTGTGATAACAGAAATACCACAAATGGGTGGCTTTAACAGACAGATTTGTTTTCTCACAGTTTAGGAGGCTAGAAGTCCAAATTCAGGGTGTCAGCTCTAGGGGAAGGCTTTCTCTCTCTATTGGCTCTCGAGGAAGGTCCTGTCTCTTCTGAGGTTCTGCTCCTGGACAGTCTTTACGTGGCTTGGCATCTGTCTTCCCCCATCTCTGCTTGTCTAATCTGCTCTTTTTATATCTTGTAAGAAATTGATTGAAAACACACCCTACACCAATCCTGTCTTATTAACATGACAGAGACAACCCATTCCCAAATAAGATTATAACCACGGGCATACCCGTGGATTCCAACTCATAGCAACCTTATAGGACAGAGTAGAACTGCCCCGTAGGGGTTTCCGAGGAGCAGCTGGCAGATTCAAACTGCTGACCTTTTGGTTGGCAGCCAAGCTTTTAACCAGTGCACCAGCAGGGCTCCAACCACAGACCTAGAGGTTAGGATTTACAACACATATTTTTGGGGGACACAGTCCTTTGACCCCCCACCAAAATTCATGTCCTTCCCACATGCAAAACACATTCACCCCATCACATCACCCCAGAAGTCTTAAATCCACTCCAAGTCCAAAATCTCATCTTTTGAATCATCTAAATCAAATACGGGTGAGACTTTAGGTGATTTACATCCTGGCGTAAAGTGTCTTTTCATCTTTGAACTGAAATCTAGAATACAAGTTACCTGTTTTCAAAATACAGTGGTGGAACATGTACAAGGTAGACATTTCCATAACAAATGGGAGAAATTAGAGGAAGAGAAGGAATAACAGGCACTAGGCAAGTCCAAAACCCAGCAGAACAATTTACATTAGTTCTCAAGGCTTGAAAATAGTTCTCTGTTCTTTGAGACCATCTGGGCAATGGCCTTGCCTCCAAACTCTGGGTGTTAACCATGCCCTCTGGATTCTGGGTAGAGACCCCTCAGCTCTGGGCTTCTGCGCCACCTTCCAGGCCCACTGGGATGGCAGCTCTGCTCCCTTGGCTTTGGCCCGGGGCCCCATTCTCCTCATCCATTTGAGTGGTGACTCCACCCTCTTGGCTTCTAGCAGGCCCCATTCTTCTGCTGTCCCTTAGGCATGGTAGCCCCACCCCCTCAGCTTTGTGCAGCAGCCCCATCCTCTTGGCCAAACTGAATGGCAGCCGCAGATTCCAGAACCGAGTTGGTGAAGATCTGACTCTTTGAAACCTAGGAGGCTGTGGCTCTACCCTTTGAGACCCCAGAGGCCGTGGCCCCACCCTTAGGGACCTACGTAGCTCTGCTTCCTGTGCTCCTTCGGTAGTGCTGCAGATCTCCCAGCTCCTCCAGGGATGGCTCTTTTCTTTTTTTGGGGACAACAGGTGTAGATCCTTTGGCTTGTTTCCTGCCTGTAGAATTCCAAAAAGGCAGACAGTGTTCTTTCCTTTTGCTCTTTCTCTGTCCCCTTCAGTCTAAGCTGATGGGTTTTCTGCTGTGGTAGTTGGTTAGATGCAGTTCAATTCATAACATTTCTTAAATAGCAGATTACATATTTTAGGAATTCTTTTCCTGCCAAAAGTATGGGATGTAGGGATTGAAGAAGGAGTTAAAAGCGTGAATAATGCCAGAGAATACTGTTAAATTCATATATGATAGAAAAATAGTAGATATTAAGGTTACTGGAATAGTTAGGCTTTTGTAATTCACATCAAGGACAACAGCTAAGCTTTTACTAATTCCTTGCTCTGGATTTCCTACAAGGTGACTGGATTATCTGGTGACTTGATTTCTTAAGAGATTAGGAGCAAAGAGGAAAATGTAGGTAGGGTCTTACTAGCAGTAAGTGCAGTGAAACCTGTGAGGGCCTGCTTTGTTTTTCCGGTCTTGCAGTTTTCCACCTTTGACAGGGTGCAGCCTTTCCACTTTTCTGTCGTCTGTTAGTGGAAAATATTTTGAGTTTTCCTGTTCTGATAGGTTTCTGCCTTTCCGGCTTTTGCAGGTTTTACTCTATATGATGATAGCAGCAAGAACTTTTAAATAAAAGAGTAAATTTATGAAATACTTCTGGTTTGGGTAAAATGGTAGAATCAACCAGTGTTAAAACTACGAATGTAGGAAAATGTAACACATTTTCATTATCAGTTCCTGTCTGAGCTCTAACAAAAGGAAGGGAGAGCCCTAGATTTCCACTAGGAAACAGTGGCGTAGTACGCAAATGGAGGCTGCAAAAGCCCTGAGTTTCGGGGTGGAGATTATGGACTGGTAATAGTAGCTAGGGACTTAGGTTTGTCCTAGGTACATACAGGGACTGTGGGCCTGGGAGAGCTTGGGTTTTCAAGCTGCTATCTGTGCATAAAGCTATGGATCTTAAAGGAGCCACATCTGTCAGCACAGGGAAGCAAAGGAGTTTGTTTCTGTCTGAGCTGGTTTAGGAGTTGCTCTGAGAAATGGGGATCTCAAACTTCACTTACACAACTCCAATCAAGAAATTAACAAAGACAGATTCTAGGCCAGTGAAACTCCTGCGGTGTGTAGCAAAAACAAATGCAGCACCCTCTTGGAGGGAAGCTTTCAGTCACTCCACAGAAAGAGCAAGTCACTGAATTTACCAAGTATATTGGTGTGATAAAAACCGTCCCAGTCTGTCCCTCTTTATCGCTTCTCAGAGTACCTTCTCTCTGCCTATTCCCCGTGCCCTGACCCCCCACTCCCCAGTCTCCCTCCTTTTTCCTCTGCACCGCAACTCGCCCCCAGTCTCTGCGGCCATGCCCCTCTCTGCCCTGCTTGTGCTGAGGCCTTTCTCCACATTTTGTTGTTCCTCCAGCAGAGCATCCCAGTAGCGAGTGAAGCCAGAGACAAACCAAATAGTCCCTAAGATACTATTATAAAGAAAAAATGAAAACTGGACAACTAAAACATTGTCGGGTTTGTTGAACACTCTTTAACACAACATTCCAAACAAATAGCTGTAAAATAAATAAATAAAATTTGACGAATTGGTCGTTTGAGAGTATTGGTGAAAAATCCTAAAAGTATCTAAATGTCGGCAAAAAAGAAAATGAATATTTAAAAATAATTAGAAATAAATTTGTATAAGCCATAAAATTTGCACAGGAAACAGTGAAATTTTAGAGAATTAAACCATTCTATGACCCCTCACTTCTGACATATGGAGTGTTTCTTAAAATGTTTGGAAATTTAAATACACACTTCTAAATAACTCATGATACTAAGATGAAATCATTATGAAGATTAGAAGATACTTAGAAATTAAGAAAATATTAGACCTGAGTGACAAGATATTGCATATAGAAATTTGTGGGATGAAGCTCTGGATCTCCTCAGGGGGACAAGTCTTAACTGCATATAGTAGGAAAAAAGGTGGAATAAAAAGTAATGAGCTTAACCCAAAGAAAGCAGAAGGAAATACTAAAGAT